TGATTTTTCCGTACATTTATGCCATATGTACATTGACTGACAGTCACCACTGATAAGCTACCACTAAATATTGTAGAAACTTAATTTGTTGTAAAGTTGCTTTGCAATGATTTGTATCGTGAAAAGCTCTGTACAAATAATCTTGAATTTAATTTAATTGAATTAAATGGCAGACAACATAACCGCAATGCACGCTTATAATAAACAGAAAGTTAATGTCTGTTGGTGTGGATGCTAAAATACTTCTCATTATAGTTATTGCTCTTGGTGTAACCAGCTTTACGTGATCTGATTTGGCCAAATTAGTTGAAGATCTGATTTGTCACGTGACAAGTTAAACTAGCATTTCCAGACTCTTGCTTCTTAGACAGATCAACATGGACAGAAAGGCAGACTGTGAGGTGTGGACAGATATCACGTACTGTTGGAAGGGGAAGACGCTGTGCCAATTTGTAAAGGTTAATAAAGAATAAAATGGACTTAATTAAAAACTTTATGATATAAACACTCTGACTACTTACAACAGGCACAATCTGTATGGGAGTTGTGGCAACGGCCAATGTCAACAGTAGGAGTAAAAGTCGTAGAATATTTAGACAGTATCACATGAATTTGCTGACTTGGTAAATTGTATGAACTATTACTACTTCTACATGACACTTTTCTGGGGTTCTTCCTGATGGGGCCGTGGGATATGTAAAGCAAAGTTTAAGAAACATCAAATGCTGTGCAAATGTAACTGCAGTACAGTTCAGTCAAGGTGCTCAGATCAACACAGACATACCATTGGAAGTGTTTGCCTTTGCAGCTTTTGGTCTTCTCCATAAATGCTCAAGATGGTCAAATTCAAATCCCATGACAGGCCTTCCTTTGGTCTTCCTTTTCAGCTGAAACAAAGAGAAATATATACATGTTGAGATGGTGTGTTAAAAATGATCTGTGACCAAAATATTTGATAGGAAGAACTATAAGGAAAGTTTTTATTAACACATAAAATAAGGATGCCTTCATTAAAGCAAATTGGTTATAACTAAAAGTGTTCAACAAAACCTGTGAAGGGTTGAACCTTTGAAGGACTTGTTCAGCCTCCTTGGCAGCTTCATCAAGATCAGCATTGGGAGCTTCTAGTGCAAGTTCCCTGTTAATTCTAGCAGCTTTCTGACAGAATTGGTCAAAATTTGATTCTGAGTTTTAAAAATAGGCCATGATGAACCACAGAAAGAGAGAGAGCAAAACTATGTGTAAATGAATCGTGGTTTACAGTATGGAAAAATAGGAAAGGAAAGGAAGAGCTGAGAGAGAGAGAGAGAGAGAAAGAAAGATGAATTTTACAAGAGATGGCTTCTTAAAAAAGCTGCTGGATTACAGGTTGTTGTGGAGTATGTGATCTGATGTAACTGTCAGAAAAAAATATTGAATTACAATCACTTCACAAACCGGCATTAAAGGCGTGGCAAGCATGGTTATTGTGCTTTACAAATAGTATACAGTAAAAACAGTTACCGTGGTAAAAGCATGGTAATTGTTGTTGTTACTGTGCTTTAACTACAAATACCACAGTTTAACTATGGCTACTGAGGTAAACCCATAGTACGTGTTGTGGTTATGTGCTTTAACTACAAATACCACATTAAAAATACAGTTACTGTTGTAAGGCATTTGCGAACAAACTTAAGCTCTACCGACTGCAGAGGCTCGAAGGGCTCCTCCTTCAGGGCCATCAGGACCGAGGGGAGATCCCAAGAGGGTAACACGTGAGGGCACGGAAGATTTAACCTCCTTGCCCCTCTAGCACACCTGAGTCAGCACCACCCTCGTGCAACTGCTTCAACGCCTTGGCCTGGTGGACTTGCAGGAGGGCCATGGCGTGCAGGGCGGAAGCGGCCTGTCCAGCAGCACTGTAAGCCTTAGCCGTCAGAGCGGACGAGAACTTACAGGCCCTGGACAGAAGGCGTGGACTACCTCTCCAGGCGGCGGCACTTTGCGGGCAGAACTGCATGGCAATCGCGCGCTCGACCCGAGGGATGTCCACATACCCTTGGGCCGCCCCCCCGTAGAGGGTGGTATTGTAAGCCCAAGCACGAGAGGCAGTGATGCTGTGGAAGCAGGAAACGACCACATCCAGAGACGCACGAGCGGGAAGCCATCTTTAAAAAGACGCCCGTCGCTCGTGAAGCTCTTTTAGAATTTACTCTTTTAGAAGGAAAAACACTCTTTTAGAGAAAGCGCTGAGGCGCCCAGGGGAGGTCGCGGCAAGACCGCAGAATGGAAGCTGCAGCCCGCCGAGGTTTCAGCAGCCTGGATGGCAACCCCCGCTAATACGCCGTCACACCAACGCCAGCTGTTTCTCTCGAACACTCGCGGAGATTCGTCCTGTAGAAGGCTCGGCTCCGAAGCGAAAATCTGATGTGCGTTTGCACGCACTCTCCTTTTATACCCGCGCTGCGGGGCGGGGTGCGCGTGGCGAAACACGCACGCCAACTGTCATTGGCTTGTTTAGTTAACACTCGAAGGGGATTGGGGTCTCGGGCGAGATCCCAATTCGTCAGTCACCGACGGAACGTAGAACGTGACTGACTGAATGGGAACCATGGTCAGCCCAGGCGCCAATTGTCTCAAATAAGTTCCTGTCCCGCTCGGCTTATCTTTACAAGAAACACAAGGAGAAAGTGATTTGCCAAACCACCTCCGGGGTCGGCAAGCACTAGGACAGCAATAACTGACTCCCCCCCATCTGGACTCATTTAAGCAACAGAACGTCAGTGGTGTTTCGTGACTGGCTTCAGCATAAATAAACCATCTAATAAACCACAGACAAAGAACCTGGTATCTGGAAATGTTCCAGCCCCATGACCGTTTAACGCATAAATTGATAATCCGATAAACAGAAAGGGACAGATTAATAGCTCCATGTCCAGCGAGAAGAATAGCAGGTCTATGACCAGGACTTTTTTTACAACCTCCTTGACCTCAGGGTTTTCTCTGTGCTCCCCCTTCCTCTAAATTCCAAGAAAACGCACGCTTCTCTTGGAGAGACAAAGGAACACGCAAAAACTCACCGGGTGATTTCAACAGACAATTATTTATGCGTATAAAAAGGGGAAACCATATTCACAAATAATATGCTGTATGTCTTATATATGCTTGAGGAGTCAAAATGTAACCTTGCAACTTTAATCAATGTTTTGTTAACCCCTTTTAGCAGATAAAGCTACTAATATGTGAAGTTTAGTGTTGAATGAAAGCGTGTGATAATTGTCGAACAGCGGTCTGAATGAAAAAGTGGGATGTACAATACTCACATTCAGAAACTTTATAGAAGTATCAACCAAATCTTCGCAAAGATATTTCTCCACATGATAAATTGAAGCCTCATGTTAATGTATGCACGCTCCGCCTTGCAAGAAGTCGATTGGAAGATCGCACCATGGGACGGACTTATGCCACGGATCAAAAACCCAATGCAAGACAGACTTGCTTGCTTGTTTGCTTTTTTGCCTTTCGCCATGTTAATAGCACTCCAACTTGTGCTCACATGCTTACCACCAAAGTGATCGGTCATCCAGAACTCAACCACTCCGTTGAAGCTTCGTAACTCTGCAGAACTCAAAGTCTTGCCAAATCAGACTCTCTCAGAAGAACTTCGAGGCTCCTCCGTAACCCGGCAACCAACCAAACACCATCGAGGGCTCTCCCAAAAGGAC